GATTCATCTCTGAGCCAGATGTTCTTCATTCTCCTCCATGTAGTCTTTCTGTTTTTGACCTTGATAGTGTAGGAGGAGAGGGGGAAGATAAGAAGACTTGAAATCTGAATGGATGTCAGTCCTTTACTCTCAATCTACTTTTTTTTCTATTGAAAAGCACTATAAAGAGTTATTGTATTTCATATACTAAAAACTATTTTCTAAAATTAGAATAGAGGGAAAAAAAGATACTGTACGAAACAAAATATACTTATTACCTGACTCATATAATTGTAACCCTCTGTATCTTTATAATAACAATAAAATAAGTAATTTTTTAAAAATTAAAACAATATAGAAAAAGTGATTCAGAACATGAGCTTTTAAGTCAGATCTTAGTTTTGGCCCTTGTGCTGAGGTTTACTAGCTGTGCAACCTTGGGCCAGCCCCTCAGTATCTGAATATAAATTAGACATAAAAATAATTCTTATTTCATAGGTGTGTCATAGGTTTTCCATGAAGACAAAATTAACTAAGTATTCATACCTAAGGACATAGTAGAATCTGGTTGGCTTTTATTAGCTCATTTTCACATATGTTTCCAGAGGTGACTCCTTGTTGAGCAAGTGATTTTATAGCATATAAAAAAACAGACCTTCTTCCATATGTTCTGCAGAGACTCAGGAGAACTTCTCTATTACTGTTAGAAAGGTAACCCTCTAAGCGTTTTTTTTCTTATCAAGGAGCTAATTGTTCTGTCTTTAAATCAAAACAGTAGTATCTTCTTTTCTTGTTTCTTCCTTGATTTAGGGATTCTTAGGTTCTTTCAGGACCTAAACTCTAAACTTGAATCTCAGCTGGTCCACCTAAACTCTATTGGTTGTGGATTTTGTATTTATTTGACTTAGGCATGTGGAATCATATACAATCCCTTTATAGAATTTATTGGAGAAGTCCTGTTTCTGGGCCAGACAAAAGAACTAATCAATTCTGAAAAATTGGACAAGGTTTTCCCTGCCTTTGTAAAAAGATTTTTAATTAGAGAACAGCTCTGTCAATTGATTCTTCAGGCAAGCGTTTCAGAAAAACTGATACTTACATAAGTAAATCTCTTCCTATTCTGGTAATATATACTTTTTTAACCTTGTACTGTAGTAATGACTTTTGGGGGTTAGGAGTTTTTTGGGTGGTCCTGGGGCTTGAACTTGGGGCCTGGGCACTATCCCTGAGCCTCTCTGTGCTCAAGGCTAGCGCTCTGCCATTTGAGCCACAGTGCCACTTTGGCTCTTTCTGAGTAGTTAATTGGAAATAAGAGTCTCATGGACTTTCCTGCCAGGGCTGACTTCAAACCGCAATCCTCAGATCTCAGCCTCCTGAGTAGCTAGGATTACAGACAGACATGAACCACTGGTACCTAGCTATGACATTAAATTTACATGTAATTTTATTCATATACAAACAAATCATTTAATTTTCTAATTGAAAGATCCTTCTGAACTATAAAAGTGGTGAATTTTATTTTTAGTTCCATTCCACTGTGCTTCCTTTTCTTTTTTTTTTTTTCTTTCTTTTTTTTTTTTGTGCCAATCCTGGGGCTTGAATTCTGACCCTGAGCTCTGTCCGTGAGCTTTTGTGTTCAAGGCTACCACTTTGCTACCACTCTCCACTTCTGGCTTTTTGGTGGTTAGTTGGAGATAAAGAGTCTCACAAACTTTCCTTCCCAGGCTAGCTTCAATCCATGATTATCAAATCTCAGTCTCCTGAGTAGCTAGGATTATTGGCATTTAATTCATACCATTTTTAATAGCATGTATATAGCTTTGGATTTTTCTCTAGTGATGATAGGGGATTTATGTAATCATCCATATTTTAATTCCTGGTCTTCTTTTGACCAACAGTATGTCACTCTTGTGATGACTTAAGGATTGTAATCTGGAACCATAGACTAAAGAACATTCAGGCTGGGAATGTGGCTTAGTGGTAGAGTGCTTGCCTAGCATTCATGAAGCCCTGGGTTCGATTCCTTAGTACCACTTAAACAGAAAAAGCCAGAAGTGACACTGTGGCTCCAGTGGTACAGTGCTAGCCTTGAACAAAAGAAGCTCAGGAATAGTGTCTAGGCCGTGAGTTTAAGCTCCAGGACTAGCAAAAAATAAAGTAAAAGTAAAAAATAAAGAACACTCATTCTATCACTGGGCTTTTGTCTGCTTGTCCCTCTTTAGGAGTTTATGTCACACCATCCAGCTGGGTCTAAGGTATAGTTTGTTCTTTCACTACAGCTTACTGAGATTTGTGTAAATGATCTAAATATAAAGGCCTTATTTCCCTTATACTCTATATAGAGTGTCACTCCTTATCTTACTTTATAATCAGGATTTTTAAGATTCCAGGCAGCTTTCAATTAACCAAGGGCTCTTATCCTCTGCCATAGCCCTCAGCTTGTAGAAGCACTACATACACTTGGAAGAACACACTTAGCTGTGCTTAAAGCAAAGAATTCACTTAGATATGCTTTATTTAGAATATAAGAAATAAAGACAGAATGATATTACAGAACTCCCCAAACCAGGAAGTTAGTTTTTAAACTACTGTTAGTCAAAGAGAAACTGGCTGTGTCTCACAAAAGGAATGAATGAAGTGTGCTTGGCTATTTTAAGTTCTCAACAAATATACTTCTTTTGTCGATACAGATAACTGCTTATTTACTAGAAACCATGTGCTCAAAGCTGTTATTTTGCCTGGTGAATAGGTAGAATATTAGCCCTATTTTTTCAAAAATATTTTCAGTTAGTAAAACAGATAGTTGCTATGTTGGCAGAAGTGTGAATTTCATTTCCTGTCTGTGGTGTACCCCTCTCATCCTGTCACTCAGACATTTTGTTTTAGCCTGTTCCCGTAATGTGAGTGAACAGTGACCCATAGCACAGTGGTATGTGCACACCACGGATGTAACAAGAGACAGGGCTTGTGCAACAGACCACAAGAGAGCAATTCTTTATTTAAAGATGAAAACAAAATCAAAACAGCCCCTCCCAGCAAGCATGCAATTTTTTTAAAGTGGTGTCTGTAGATCCTTATGTTTTGTTTTGTTAGAAGATCTGTTCTAATCTATTTGGCAATTTACCTTAAAAGCTTTTTCCACCTTACACCACTTTATTCAAGGATAGAATTGAGTCAGCAACTGACAGCATTACAGAGGTGATTTAAGTTCATAAAGTGATGTTAATTCATCATAAACAATTTTTGTGCCAGTATTGGGGCTTGAATTCAGGACATCAAGCTCTCACTGGGCTTTGACATTACCACTTGAGCAATGCCTCTAGTTCCAGCTTTTTGCTGGTTAATTAACAATAAGTGCCTCAGGGATTTGGCTCCTCTAAGCCTAGATCCTAAGATATCAGTTTCCTGAGTAGCTAAGATTACAGGCATTATTCATTTTAATGTGGTAAGAATTAAATTCTTAAATATATTTAATTTTTTTAATACCATGGTAATTGTACATATTTATGCTGTAAAATACAATTTTAATACATGTATATAATATTTAATGACCAAATCAAGGTAACTAAGATATCTCTCACCTCAAACAATTAACATTTCTTTGTTCTGTGAACATTCAAAATCTTCTAGCTAAACTGAAATGTGCAATTGTTGTCAACCATAGTTACTGCACTATGCTATAGAACGTATTAAAGTAACTCTTCACGGGCTCCTATGGCTCATGCCTGTAAAACTAGGTACTCAGGAGGCTGAGATCTGAGGTTCATGGTTCAAAGCCAGACTAGTCAGGAAAGTCCATGAGACTCTTATCTCCAATTAACTACCCGAAAACCAGAGTGGTACTGTGGCTCAAGTGGTAGAGCACTCACCTTGAACTGAATAGCTGGGGGCCAGCGCCCAGGCCCAGAGTTCAAGCCCTACAACTGACAAAAAAAAAAGAAAAGAAAAAAAAATGAAGTAACTCTTCGTATATAGCTGTACCCTGTATAGGCATCAACATCCTGTCTACATCCTCTCCTCTCCCACATCTTTCCTAAAATGTTCAGCTAAGAGGCCGGGAAGGTAGCTCAGTGGTAGAGTGCTTGCTTTGCATGCATGAGGCCCTGGGTTCTATTCCCTAGTACTACATAAGCAGAAAAAGGCAGAAGTGGTGCTGAGGCTCAAGTGACAGAGTGCTAGCCTTGAGCTAAAGAGCCCAGGAATGGCACCCAAGCCCAGAGTTCAGGCCCCATGACTGACAAAAAAAAAAAAAGAAAAATGTTCAGCTAATAATCTAGTGTGGTATACCTTTTAAACACTAATTTTTGTACACTCTGGATCAATTGTAACTAAATGTTAAAATGTTTCTCCAGTCAAAATTATTGATAACTAGATCTAATAATAACTAATTTATTAAGACTTATTACTATAAGTCAGATATCACTTTAGGTAGCCATATTCTGATTGACATTTCACAACAGCCTCATTTTATTATCCTTGTCTACAAGACAAAGAAATCTAGGCTCAAAAATATTTACTCAGGAAGCAGCAAAACTTCAGATTAAGGGAGCTTGATTTGAGTGTTTGTGTTGAGCCTTTAAATCTAACTACTACCATGTAATATATACAGAATATTCTAATTTTGTTTTAGAACATTTTCTTTACAGTAGCTAACAGTATACAATAAGTAGAGTCACTTCTGATTTTGTATTACTTCATTTTAAGAAGTTGGGGGGCTGAGAAGGTGGCTCAGTGGTAGAGCACTTGCCTTGCATGCATGAGGCCCTGGGTTCGATTCCTCAGTACCACATAAGCAAAAAAAAAAAAAAAGCCAGAAGTGGCACTGTGGCTCCAGTGGTAGAGTGCTAGCCTTGAGCTGAAGAGCTGAGGGACAGCACCCAGGCCCAGAGTTCAGGCCCCACTACTGGACCCAAAAACGAAAACAAACAAGTTGGAACTTTGGAAAACAATCCTAAACTAGGTCTTCATCCTCTAATTTTGCTCCTTAAGTAATTATGTTCTTTTAACTTTTCTCCTTATAGCATCAGCGAGAGCTTTTTAACTGTCAAAGGTGCTGCACTTTTTCTACCACGGGGAAATGGCTCATCCACACCAAGAGTCAGCCACAGACGCAACAAGCATGCAGGTAAAGCTGCGCATAAACCATTCTTTTCTCAACTACTTTGGCTTTTGTTTTTTTAAAAAACAAAAAACTCATTATCTTGCCCATGTAATTGTAACCCCTCTGTAGAGTATTTTCACAATAAAAAAAGACAAAAACAAAAACAAAAAAAACCTGAATCCTCAGTTTCCAACAGTGAGATAAAGTGTTATCCTATGCTGTAGTCACTTTCTTTCATTCTCCCAGACTGTTACTCTAGCACTTAGTAGACAGAATATCTTACACATAGCAATTTTTTGTTGGAATAATTAGGAGGAGGTATAGAAATACCAAGGAATTAGTATATCACATATTAGGACCAAGCCTGGTTGTGTATACCTGTAATCCCAGCACTCAGGAGGCTGAGGCAAGTATATGAGTTGAAGGCCAGCTTGGGTTACATACAAGACCTGGGTTGAGTTAATAATTTTTTAATTAATTAAAATTTTAAAAAATTAATTTTTTAAAAGTTTAATGTTTTTTAAATAAAATTAAAATTAATTTATTTTATTTATTGTGGGTGTATGTTGGTTCTGGGGCTTGAACTCAGCACCTGCACTTTCCCTTAGCTTTTGTGCTCAAGACTAGCACTCTACTACTTGATCCACAGCTTTATTTCTAGCTTTCAGTGATTAGATTAGACTTTTCTGCCCAGGCTAGCTTCAGACTTCAGTCTTCAGATCTCAGCCTCTTGAGTTGCTAGAATTACAGATGTGAGCCACTGGTGTCCAGCAAATTACCTGTTCATATATGACAGTCTGCATTTTGGTAAAATAAAAGACTAGATATTTAATTCTGGACTTTGATAAATAAGGAGTCCTCAAATAATTCTTCAGTAAAACCAGAATGTAAAACTCTGGTTTTAAAATATCCAGTAACAGTAGTGTATACATTGTTTTCCCTTACATTGGAAATTCACCTGGAGTGATGAGGTTCCAAAAGACAGAATCATAGGAAATGTATTTTAGGAAGGGAAGTTCTTCATTATGGGCTATCCACAGTTTAGGAAGGTAACCTGATTCTTCTCTTATATCAGCAAGCCTTGTTTGTGTCATTTTGAGGAAAAAAGAGAAGTCAACTTGAAGACAATATTCTTGACCAATACTAAACAAATAAGTGGTTGCTTGTCATAAATGTGCCACTTTGATGACTTTTGACCTCCTGAAGTAGAAGAAATTACAGCTTACTAGGAAATTCAGTGTGTAGGTCAGAGGTGAAAGGCAGAAATGCTGAATTCTAATGAACCAGTAGCTGAGTTTAACACTAGACAATATAATTTTAACTGTTTTAGTAGCTGCACTAATTCTTGTTGGGGCCTTTATCTAGTACATTTGTTACAGATGTAGCAGACTGTAATTATAATTAATTTTGTTAGTATTTTATCTCTCCATTTTTTAAGTAAATGTGAATAAATTTAAAAGTTAGCTTATGTTGTACTGTCTAAAACCTTCTTTAGTATCTACCACCAGAGATGGGGAAGGGGAAGAACGTGGAGAGGATGCTTCTCCCAAAATTTGAATACATAAAGCAAGTAGACCCAACTAAACTTTGTATTTTATCGTATCGGTGAGGATATTTATCACTTATGGTAAAAAGAAGACAATGATTGGTTTAAATCTACCTTGACTGATTAAGATGATGGGTATAGTGCTTTGTAGAACATAATAATAAGTGGAGGAAATGTGGCTTTTAAGGTTTCTGACCCTGGTTGGCCTTTTCTTGGGTCAAACTTCTCATTGTAATCCTAACTACTCAGAAGGCTAAAATCTGAGGATCACAGTTCAAAGCCTGCCCTCCCAGAAAAAAATCCATAAGATTCTTATTTCCAATTAACCACCAAAATGCTATAAGTGGATCTGTGGTTCAAGTGGTAGAGCACTAACCTTGAGCACAAAAGCTCAGGAACAGTGCCTGGGCCCTGAGTTCAAGCCCTGGTACCATCTTCCTTACTACTCCCCCCTTAATTTAAAAAAAAAAAGTGCCAGGCGCCAGTGGCTCACGCCTGTAATCCTAGGTACTGAGGAGGCTGAGATCTGATGATCTCAGTTCAAAGCCAGCCTGGCAGGAAAGTCCGTGAAATTCTTATCTCCAATAAACACTCAGAAAACCAGAAGTGGCGCTGTGGCTCAAGTGGTAGAGCTCTCCCCTTGAGCTGAAGAGCTGAGGGACAGCACTCAGGCCCAGAGTTCAAGCCCCACAACTGAAAAAAAAAAAAAAAGTATGCAAGACAGAAAAAGGATGTAAGGCATGGCTCAATGTGAAGGAATGGCCTTGCCTAACAAGTACAAGGCCCTGAGTTTAAACATTAGTACCACCAAAGAACAAAAACTTCCACACCTAACTACCACCAGGATTGCCATTTATTTCCTTTGCACTAAAAGGAAACGCAAATTAAACACAAACTGAAAGGACTTGATTTGTGATCCAGACCAAACTAGATGAGCAATGTAAGTATAAACACAGTTCACAAAAGCTATACTTTCACATAAAGTGAAACTGCCTAACTAAGCTCACAGAAACCGAAAGATGACGGCAAAATGAAGAACAGATCTTAGACCTGCTATTTCCATGCAATGGTGCTTTCTTATGCACATTTTTCCCCTTAGGATCTATCTTGAACTGGTTATCTTCTTTTAAAATCTGGGCTACATTTAAAATATCCAGATACTATTAAATAATTTAAAAATTGTATTATTGGTGTATGAATGTCTTCCAATATCTTAAAAGAAAAAGAAGCCAGGAGCTGGTGGCTCACATCTGTAATCCTAGCTACTCAGGAGGCTGAGATCTGAGGATCATGGTTCAAAGCCAGCCAGGGCAAGAAAGTCAGTGAGTCTCCAATTAACCACCAGAAAACTGGAAGTGGCACTGTGGCTCAAGTGGTTGAGCACTTACCTTGAGCTAAAGAGCTGAGTGACAGTGCCTAGTCCCAGAGTTCAAGCCCCAACAGGAAAAAAAAAAGAAAGGAAAGTGATGGGCAATCTTTAGGACTGGAGATGGTGGTTCAAGTAGTAGAGTACCTACTTAGAAGCTTTTAAGGCCCTGAGCTCAAAACCCATGCTGAGGAAAGAAAGAAAAACTTGTAAAGAAGTCTTTAAAATCAAGCTGAAATCTGAATTTAGCCACTAGCAGTGAAATGTATGAGAAAAATCTAGAAGAGGGATTATTAAGAATACTGGAATTGCCTTTGATAGTGTCTGCAGAAAACTAGAAAACAATTCTTAAAAGTCTGCTCTTTAACTGGATTGTAACATGTAACTAATAGCTTTTATTTTTTTTTTAATATTTTACCAGTCCTGGGGCTTGAACTCAGGGCCTGGGCACTGTCCCTGAGCTTCTTTTGTTCAAGGCTAGCATTCTACCACTTGAGCCATAGCACCATTTCTGGCCTTTTCTGTTTATGGTAGTACTGAGGAATTGAACCCAGGGCTTCATGCATGCTAGGCAAACACTATCACTAAGCCACATTCCCAGGCCACTTATTGTCTATACCTAATATCTATCTCCTCACACTTGTTTTTTTTCTTTTAACAGATTTATTTACCCACTCAAAGTATATGTTCATTAGCTTTTAGCATATTTAGAGTTATACACCTATCACCATACTAGAACATTTTTTTTTTACCTTCATTAACAAATATTGCCTATGTCCCTTCTTCCATAAAACTTGCCATACCCTATATAAACTACTTGTCTTCTTTCTTTTGTGTGTGTTCCAGTCCTGGAGCTTGAATTCAGGGCTTAGGCACTGTCCCAAGCTCAAGGCTAGTGCCCTGCCAGTTGAGCCATAGCTCTACTTCTAACTTTAATTAGAGATAAGAGTCTCACAGACTTTCCTACCTGTGCTGGCATCGAACTGTGATCCTCAGATCTCACCATGAATAAATAGGAATACAGGCATAAGCCACCAGTACCCAGTCACTAATCTGTTTTTGTCTCTATTGATTTAAGTATTTTGGATATTCTATATAAGTGGACTCATAAAAGTGGATTGTTAACCAGGTGTGGTGGCCCAAGCCTGTAATTCTAGCTACTCAGGAGACTGATATCTGAGGATTGAGGTTCAAAGCCAGCCGAGGCAGGAAAGGCCGTGAGATCTTATCACCAATAAACTACTCAGAAAACTGGATGTGGTATTGTGGCTCAAGTGGTAGAGTTCTAGCCTTGAGCTGAAGAGCTAAGGGACAGCACCCAGGCCCAGAGTTCAAGCCCCACCATGGACAAAAAAAAAGTGGATTGTTGAGATAGGCCTCTTGCACTCAGCATGTTTTTAGTGATCTTCCATGTCTAGTATATAGCACTTTGGATTTATCACATTTTATTTACCTATTGGTTAGTTGATAAACATTTGATTTGCCTCCACCTTTGACCTATTGCCAACGATACTGTATGAATATTTGTGTTAAGTTCTTGTTTGGACACGTTTCCATTTATACATAGGAGCCCATGCTGCATCTTACATATGAGACTTCTTTTAGTTGCATCTCTGAATTTGAAATGTAGTAGAATGGCCAAGCCAAGAGATTCTTTTTATCTTTTTTGTGCTGCTATTGGAACTTGAACTCAGGGCCTCTCACTCTTGCTTAGCGTTTTCTTTCAGGGCTGATGCTTTGCTGCTAGAGCCACAACTTCACTTTTAGCTTTTCTGTGGTTAATTGGAGATAGAATCTCTCAAATTTGTCTGACTGGACTGGCTTCAAACTTCAGTCCTCAGATCTCAGCCTTCTGAGTAGCTAGGATTTCAGACATGAGCTACCATCACTCAGCTGTGATGCTCCTTAAATTTGAAAGGTTAAAGATTCTGCAAAAATAGAATTGGTAAAAAGCTGTCATTGAAATGACATGGCAAGGAAGGCAAGAAAATTATTCTTTTTTGTTTTGTTTTTTGTTAGTCGCGGGGCCTGAACTCTGGGCCTGGGCGCTGTCCCTCAACTCTTCAGCTCAAGACAAGTACTCTACCACTTGAGCCACAGCACCACTTCCAGCTTTTTTTGTTTATATGGTGCTGAAGAATTGAACCCAAGGCCTCAGGCATGCAAGGCAAGCACTCTACCACTGAGCCACCTTCCCAGCCCAAGGAAATTATTCTTTAAGAGAAAGAGGAAGGAAGGCCTTTCAGACTTGCTCACATTTGAGACAAGCATATCTGTTTGCTAATCTGTCTTTTTTCCTGCCTCTTTATTTCTTGCACATATGAAGCTAGGCACCAGTGGTTCATTCCTATAATGCTAGCTATTCAGGAATCTAATGCTTACAGTTCAAAGCCAGCCCATGCAGGAAAAGTTTGCAAGACTTTTATTTCCAATTAACCACCAAAAAAGCTGCAAGTGAAGCTGTGGCTCAACTGGTAGGGTGCTAGCCTTGAGCAAAAAATATCTCAGGGACAATGCCTAGGCCCTGAGTAGATTAGTGGTTCTTGTATGGGAAGGTTTATGGAAAGAAGAGGGAAATAGAGAGTAAATGCTAATGAGGGTGAAAAATGTTCAAGAGTTAATTGTGGTGATAGTTTTGCAACTCTGAATAGACTAAAAGCTAATGGCATCTGTGATTATATGTATAAATCACCTTAGACTCCTAAAAAATACCTGGGTCTAGTGGGCAAGAATAAAGATTTTGGTTCTCAGATTGTCATCAGTAATGATAGTACATTATTTAATTGTCTTCTGTTAGCCAGAGCCTCAGATTTCCTGATATAAAATAGGAAATAGAAGAAAACTGATAATACTATAATAAAAAGCTTGTTTGTTTTTTGTAGTTTTTTTTTTTTGGTCGGTCGTGGGGCCTGAACTCGGCCTGAGCACTGTCCCTCAGCTCTTCTGCTCAAGGCTAGCACTAGTGCGACGTCTGGCTTTTTCTGCTTATATGGTGCCGAGGAATAAAACCCAGGGCCTCATGCGTGCAAGGCAAGCACTCTACCACTGAGCCACCTTCCCAGCCCATACAAAGAAAATTTTAGCTTTGTTTTATAAAATGTGTAAGAATAAGTAGTCAGGTGCAGTGGCTCACAACTGAAATCCTAGTTACTCAGGAGTCTGACATCTGAGAATCTATTCCTAATTTACCAACAAAATGCCAAACGGGAGATATGGCTCAAGAGGCAGAACACCAACCATGAACAAAAACAGCTGAGCAAGAGCTCAAGGCCCTGAGTTTAAACTCAGTACCAGCATATGTACGCGGAGGAGGAGGAGAAGAAAAAGAGGGGTTAAATGAGTGAAAAGAGGAAGAATGGGAGAATGCAGACCTAATCTTTAATGTATACATGTGAAAATGGAACTATGAAAGTCAAAGGGGACAGGTTGGGCTGGGAGAGATGGAGAATAATGAAAGTGTGGCCTTGATTGCATTGTAATCATTGTATTGCATTGTAATCATTGAAATCATAAACTGACTTATTGAATTGAAACCCTTTTAGACAACTTCTTAAAGGTAATTATAAAAATGAAAGAAAAAGAACAAGAGACGATTCAAATAATATTTAGCTATTTTAATGTACCTAATATGTTCAGAAGAATAGGTATCTCTAATCTCCTCCATTTGATATATACGCCCTTTAGTATCAACCATTAAAGTGGAAATTTTTTTAAACTACTGACATTATTCTAGATTGAATCTAACAATCTGAGGTTAAATGTAACTGAAAATTATTATTAATAATAATAAAGGGCTGGGAAGGTGGCTCAGAGGTAGAGTGCTTGCATGAGGCCCTGGGTTTGATTCCTCAGCACCACATAAACAGAAAAAGGCACTGTGGCTCAAATGGTAGAGTGCTAGCCTTGAGCTGAAGAGCTGAGGGACAACGCCCAGGCCCAGAGTTCAAGACCCATGACCAAAAAAAAAAGAAAAAAAAAAAGAAGAACAAAATTAGTAATAACAAGAGGGCTAGCTTTTTAAAACTTAGGAGTAGGGCTGGGAAGATGGCTCAGTGGTAGAGCGCTTGCCTTGCATGCCTGAGGCCCTGGGTTCGATTCCTCAGCACCACATAAGCAAAAAGAAAAAAGCCGGAAGTGGCGCTGTGGCTCAAGTGGTAGAGCGCGCTAGCCTTGAGCTGAAGAGCTGAGGGACAGCGCCCAGGCCCAGAGTTCAGGCCCCACGACCAGACCCAAAAAAAAAAAAAAAAAAAAAACTTAGGAGTATTCTGTGAATATTCTCTTTGCTAACTTCAGTTTCCTGAAAGCATAGCCAGCCAGTATTGCCTCTGCCCAACAGTTTCACCAATGGATCTTTCATTGTACAAAACTAAGATTGTCTTGGGCTTGGGAAGGTGGCTCAGCAGTAGAGTGCTTGCCTCGTATGCATGAGGTCCTGATTTCAATTCCTCAGCACGACATAAGCAGAAAAAGCCAGAAGGGACACTGTGGCTCAAGTGGTAGAATGCTAGCCTTGAGCAAAAGCAGCCCAGGGACAGTACCCAGGCCCTGTGTTCAAGCCCAAGGACTAGAAAAGAAGGAAGAAGGAAGGAAGGAAGGAAAGAAAGAAGGAAGGAAAGAAAGAAAGGAAGGAAGGAAAAAACAATTGTCTCAAGTATACTTTTCCTAGGACAGACTAAATGTAAATATAAACACAGTTTATTCTGCTTAAAAATAAATTAATCATATTAATTGATTTCTGAGTCTGAGTCTTCAGTGAAACAGAACTTTATTGCTTTATAAATTACTAGAGAGAAGGAATCCTGTCTGTGGTATTAGAATGGAGAATACTTACTCTTTCTTTTATAAATTTCAACAGGCGATCTCCAACAGCATCTCCAAGCAATGTTCATATTACTCCGCCCAGAAGACAACATCAGGCTGGTAAGTTAATTGTATGATCATAACTCTTCCTCAAAAGACTATATAAAGTAGCCAATATTAAACTGTCATTTTATATTTCAACACATTGCTGGAAGCTATATGGAATAGAAAAGAAGAATGTTATGTCCTCATCATCCAGGAGCTTAGAATTTGTGGGTATAAACTGTTGAAGAGTGATGTAAAATAATAACATTCAAGAGTTTGATAAGCACAAGTTTGTAAGTTACTGTCCATAGTAACAGTTGCAGAAGAGAAAAAGGAGAGAAAAATTAGGAATTTGACCTAGTTGAGAAATGTTTCCTTTAGACAATAACGTTTGAATGGATCTTGAAAGATGATGAAATTTGGATTGCCTGAAAGAAATCATTCTAGATGAAGTTATAACTTAAGCAGAAGCACCCACAGGAAGGGATAAGGTGGGAGTGAAATGACTACATATGATGCTGACCTCAGAGTCACGAGACTAGAGCTTGAGTCCTTGCTAACCAGGTGATGTTAGACAAGTTACCTTAGGCTGTTTGTGTTCTTTTCCTCATTTCCTAACAGCTTCTCACAGTTGGCAGGATCAAATGGGCATGAAAACATTAGAGTGTAAAATTCTGCCTAAATATGAGGATTATTGTTATATAGGGAAGATAGAGACCAGAAGACATGGCAGGCAAATATGAATTTAATTCTTTAAAGGAGTCAAATTGACAGCTCATAAGCCAAAGATAAGTTTTGTTTGGATCACAGTGTTTTTTTCAATGTTAGAATTTTAAAGCTGAGTGGTTTCATATAAAAATTCAGATTTGAGGGGAGGGGAAGGGAAATAACAAAATGCTGAAATAAGGATACAAGTTGACCCATTGTAACAATAAGATATACAAGACACTATGTTGAAAACAAACTTTACAATGTGGTAGGGGAAAAACAAAGAAGGAAGTAACAATGCTTGATAGAAAATGTACTCATTACCTTACTCATGTAACTGTAAACTCTCTATACAGTATCTTTATAAAAAAAATACAAAAAAATTCAGATTTGAGTTTTCAGAAGTCAAAGTTTTCTGACAACACTGAGATTTTATCCTCACATGGAAATCAGAGCTAGTCTGAGGTGGAGAGAAACAATATGTAGGTTCTTAGTTTACCATAACTTTGTCAGATCCTATTGCCTCTCAGACACTTAAATCAATTGTCATCTGTCATCATTTCTTGGACTGTTTTTTCTTCAAAGAAAAATAGGAAAATGATGTAAATATGATTCTTTGTATAAATAAAAAGTACTACCTGGGTGCTGGTGGCTCACACCTGTAATCCTCACTACTCAGGAGGCTAAGATCTGAGGGTCGCAGTCCAAAGCCAGCCTGCGCAGGAAAGTCCATGAGACTCATCTCCAATTAACCACCAGAAAACCGGAAGTGGTGTTGTGGCTCAAAATGGTAGAGTAAAGCCTGGCACTGGTGACTCACTCCTATAATCCTAGCTACTCAGGAGCCTGAAATCTGGCTCAAACCCAGCCCAGGCAGGAAAGTCCATGAGACTCTAATCTCCAGTAAACCACTAGAAAACTGGAAGCGGTGCTGTGGCTTACATGGTAGAGCGCTTGCTTTGAGCTGAAGAGCTGAGGGACAGTGCCTAAGCCCAGGGTTGAGCTGAGGGACAGTGCCTAAGCCCAGAGTTCAAGACCCATGACCCACCAAAAAAAAAAAAAAAAAAAATAGTAGAGTACTAGCTTTGGGCAGAAAATGCTCAGGGACAGCACCCAAGTTCAAGCCCCAACAACAACAACAACAAAGTATCTCATTTAATATTTAGATGGCTTACTTTATTGTTTTGTATGTTTTGCCTGACCCTTAAATTACTAAGTACAGACTGTACCTCTCCCTCCTCAGTAAACAGTTGTGAAACATTATAGGTTTTTGAGCCAAGGAGTGACATGAGACAGCTACAGGGAAAGATTACCCTGAAGCTAATATGAAATGGAGAAGAGGAGGAAGAGGCCCATGAGATAGTTACTGAAATCACCAAGAAGTCTGGTCTCAAGTCTTTCTAGATTAGTTAATTGAAATTTTATGAAAGCTATAGGCAGGTTAAAAATAGTTGGTCTTTATGTCTAGTAAGAGAGTTAACGAGGAGAATATAAGCTTGTGGACAGTTGATGATCAGTCTTTAAATTCTCTAGTAATCACTGATTCTACATTCACTTAATCGTTTTATGTTTAAATTTTGTTTTATCCGGGGCTGGGAAGTTGTCTCAGTGGTAGAGTGCTTGCCTTGCATGCCCGAGGCCCTGGGTTCGATTCCTCAGCACCACATAAGCATAAAGAAAAAAGCCGGAAGTGGTGCTGTGGCTCAAGTGGTAGAGCGCTAGCCTTGAGCTGAAGAGCTGAGGGACAGCGCCCAGGCCCAGAGTTCAGGCCCCACGACCAGACCCAAAAAAAAAAAAAAAAATTTTGTTTTATCCTTTCTTTTGAATGCTGCCTCCATGCCTTCTTTTTTGTCTTTTGTCTAAATTAGTTTCTATTCTAATCCAAAATTAAGATTATATACATTTAAATAAAACGTAGTGACACTATAAGACCCTGTCTCAAAAAAGGGAATAGGTGAAGAGCACAGTTCTTTTTGTTTGTTTGTTTGTTTGTTTTTTCCGGTCATGGGGTTTGAACTTTGGGCTTGGGCGCTGTCCCTCAGCTCAAGGCTAGTGCGCGCGCGTGTGTGTGTGTGTGTGTGTGTGTGTGTGTGTGTGTGTGTGTGTGTGTGTGTGTGTGTGTGTGTGTCCTTCAGCTCAAGGCGAGCGCTACCGCTTGAGCCATAGTGCCACTTCTGGTTTTCTAGTGGTTTATTGGAGATAAGAGTCTCACAGACTTTCCTGCCCAGGCTGGCTTTGAACTTTGATGCTCAGATCTCAGCCTCCTGAGTAGCTAGGATTATAGGCGTGAGCCACTGGCACCCGGCCAAGAGTGCAGTTCTTACAGCATTAATATCCTCTCTCTCTCATCAGTATTAGAGTTTGAACTCAGGGCCTTATGCTTGTTAGGTAGTTGCTCTATCACTTGAGCCATACCTGAAGATTTTTTTTTTTTTTTGGGGGGGGGGGGTCCAGTTGTGGGGCCTGAACTCTAGGCCTGGGCGCTGTCCCTCAGCTCAAGGCTAGTGCTCTAGCGTGTGTGTGTGTGTGTGTGTGTGTGTGTGTGTGTGTTCTACCGTGTGTGTGTGTGTGTGTGTGTGTGTGTGTGTGTCCTGAGGCTTGACTGTGTGTGTGTGTGTGTGTGTGTGTGTGTGTGTGTGTGTGTCCTGAGGCTTGACTGTGTGTGTGTGTGTGTGTGTGTGTGTGTGTGTGTGTGTGTGTGTGTGTGTGTGTGTGTGTGTGTGTCCTTGGATGCTATCCTTGAGCTTTTTTGCTCAAGGCCAAAGCTCCACTTTCAACTTTTTGGTGTATATTTGGAGATAAGTGTCTCACAAAATTTCCTGTCCAGGCTGACTTTGAACCTCATTTCTCAGATCTCAGCCTCCTGAGTAGCTAGGATTACACGCGTGAGACACTGGTGCCTGTCTTGAGCCTCTAAATATTAAAATAATTTACCACATGAGACTTATGAGAACATGAAGGATACAATTAGAAAGGCAAACCAAGAGATTAAATCTTCTCTTTTCCTACTGAAATATGCAGTTTCAAGCTGCTTTATATTTATAAAATGAAAACTCACAAAATATATCTGATGCCTCTGAATTAATTCAGAATTCAAATGACAAGCCATTTACCGTTGTTTTGAATTGTTACAAACACATAGTTATTATGTTTCAGATTATTGAGTGAGTCATCTTCAAGAAAATGAGTGAATGCATTGTATAACTTTAGACAAATTAGCACTTTTCTAACTGAAAGGAACACTTGTAGTCTCAAAGCAAAGGCTTTTGTTTTAGTTAAATTTGGAATGCTAAAACTCTTATCTTGGGACTTGTGCATAAGGTTAAAAGTTTGATAGTCAGCTGAAAGACTAGCCTTTATTTTTCTTAATCCAACCAAACTCCACGTTTTGCTAACACATTCAAAATGTGATTAAAAAAAAAAAAATTCTTTACCTACAAGGGACTCTGCTTTCCAAATACAGGTATCAAGCATTAACTATAGTTAATACTTAGGAAATCTTTAATTGATAATGTAAGGAAATAGTTTTATAGTACTTCAATAATGTTCTTGACTAGAGCTGAGGTCAAAGAACTGCAGGATAATTTAAGAAAATGAGAATGAAGGGCTGGGAAGGTGGCTCAGTGGTAGAGCGCTTGCCTTGCATGCATGAGGCCCTGGGTTCAATTCCTCAGCACCACATAAGCAGAAAAACCTGGAAGTGGCGCTGTGGGCTCAAGTGGTAGAGTGCTGGCTTTGAGCTGAAGAGTTCAGGTACAGCATTCAGGCCCAGAGTTCAGGCTCCATGACCGACAAAAAAAAAGAAAATGAGAATGAAAAGCTTTTGTTCAAATGAAAAGTTTATTTCTTTCTTCGTGTAAGTGCATTGGAATTTAGGTTTAGATTTTGATTTGATTTTATTTTGATTTTGTTTTCCCAAATGGGATAATTCCGAAAGACATAAAGATAAAATCACCTATCCTATACTCTAAGAAAGCTATTCTTGGGGGGTGGGGGGGTGTGGGGGGGGGAGGATGGGATAGGAAGGGGAAACAAAGGAGGAGGCTACAATGCTTGATAAGAAATGTACTCATTATCTTGCCCATGTAATTGTAACCCCTCTGCACAGTATTTTCAAAATAAAAAAAAAAGAAAGAAAGCTGTTCTTGGCAATTTGAGTACATTATTCTTCCAGTCTTATTTTGGTGTTTGTATATGAATATAGGACAGAAGGACAAAGGAGGGAGGTGTAAACTAATCTGTAAAAGCATAGCTAGTATGTTTTGCCTTTTTTTAAATAAAAATAAGATACTGTTTTGTAACAATCTTTCTTTATAATTTATCAAGGCTATTTTTCTTTTTTTTTTTTTTTTTTTTTGGGTCTGGTCGTGGGCTGAACTCTGGGCCTGGGCGCTGTCCCTCAGCTCTTCAGCTCAAGGATAGCGCTCTACCACTTGAGCCACAGTGCCACTTCTGGCTTTTTTCTTATGTGGTGCTGAGGAATCGAACCCAGGGCCTCATGCATTACAAGCCAAGCGCTCTACCACTGAGCCACCCAAGGCTATTTTTCTATGTAAATAATTTTTATATGGGGGTTGAGTTTTTTGCCTAGGCTAGGAATCAAACCTAGGGCTTTGGTATGTGCAAGGCAAGTGTTCTACCACTGAACTACATCCCCAACTCTTAAATCACGATTTTTATTGCCATAAAGAATTTAATTTATAGATTTTTAACACTAAAAAGTTCATAGAGACAGAGTTTTTAAAATCCAGATTTCCTCCATCTTTAATCTATTTTTTTGAAGACAGTGTTTTTTATTCATGTCAATCTGAAGTCTATTTAATCTTAGGCTTGTTGACTTTGCTTTGTTCTTTTGGCTAGAATTTAATATTTACATACTTTTGAAACCTTTCCCTCTGATAGATTGGGTGAACTGCCTGTCTAGACATTGAGTCTTTATAATGTGGCTTCCCTGAGGATAAACACCGCATGCATGCAGAGGCATGATGTGTAGGACTCTTGATGAAGAGAAATTAAAGGCAAAGGTGTACTGTAAACTTAAGCAGAAGTATTTCCTGATATTAGATAATGGTGATGAGAGAAGTTCTTGTACAATGTGGAATATATAGAGTAAGAATTTAAACTAGGGCTGGGGATGTAGCTTAATGGCAGATGTTTGCCTAGCATGCATGAAGCCCTGGTTCGATTCCTCAGTACCACATACACAGAAAAGGCCAGAAGTGGCACTGTGGCTCAAGTGGTAGAAGCACTAGCCTTGAGCAAAAAGAAGCTCAGGGATAGTGCTCAGGCCCTGAGTTCAAGCCCCAGGATTGGCAAAAAAGAAAGAAAGAAAGAAAAGCTTTACCATTATTCTTTGAAGCTTTGAAAATAGTGTGCCTATTTTTAGGAATAAGCAGAGGTATATCTTCTTCATATGAGAAGCAGAAATGATTTCTCTGACCTACCTCAGCCCTAAGATTAACTAACTCTAGTTCATCTAACACTTATAATAGGATTCCAAATTTAGGCAATAAATGGACTTTCTTGTAATAATTTTCTCAGTTGCTATTGTTGACATGTTTCAAAATCTACAGTTAATGTTTTGTTGAGCAATTAGAATGGAATACACTAGTGTCGTACTTTCAAGCTGAAGTACAGAGAACTTCATCTTGCTAATCAAACTTATCTCAACTGTATTGTGCCAGCCATTTATTCCAAAATTCTGGAGACTGAAAAAAATACTGGAAATGCTTCCTCCTCCACTATTACCACTCCTCCCCAACTCCTATGTAGTCCAGGCTAGACTAAAACTTGCTTCTGTTTCCCAGGTACTAGGAATATAGCTAAATTAGATTATTAGATTTTGCTAATCTTCTTGACAACAGAAAAATATGAGATTAACTACCAGTAGATAAAAGTATAATATTAGATACTCATTTATGCTTTGGGCTTATATAATGTTGCTTAATTCGGTCATGGGGCTTGAACTCTGGGCCTGGGTGCTGTACCTCAGCTCTTCAGCTCAAGGCTAGCGCTTTACCACTCGAGCCATAGTACCATTTTCTGCTTATGTGGTACTGAGGAATCAAACCCAGGGTTTCATGCATGCAAGGCAAGCACTTTACCACGGAGCCATCCTTTCAGCTAAATGTTGCTTAATTCTTTACCTAGAAATTGAAAACTCTAGAAAGGTTCTGTAATTTTTTTTTTCCATGCTAGGGATCAGACCCAGAGTGTTGTGCACATTAAGCATAGTGCTCTGCCACCAAACTCTATCTTCAGCCCTTGAAAGGTATTTTAACATTTCCTCTGGCATTTCAGGATTAACTATTATAGACACTATTAGAGATCAGTGATAAATCTCCAGAATTCTCAGTTTATTCTTCCATCTAAGAAATTTAAATAGATCCAAGATGTGCCTATGGGTATTTTTGGGGGGGGTGGGAGAAGGAGGAACAGTACTTGCTAAGTGCTTATTCTACCACTTAAACCATCCCTTCTAGTCCTGTTCCTGTCATGTTCAGTAACTGGTCCTTTCCCATGTTCTTGATGTATAAATCAGTACAAATCTTACAAGAGATAACTGTTTGCGCTCCAAACACCAAAATATTCTTGGTGCTCACTTGGCCTGGTACTTTGCATTATTGGTAATATGTATGAAGATTATGTGGGGTTTTGGTTTTTTTATCAGCTTACTAGCTAATCAGTTGCTACTGGTTTGTATAGGATAAATTGTCAGAAGCACAGTTCAGTTGTTCCCATGCCATTTGTGTTTTAGCCTGGCCAGTAATTTTCAGAGCCTTGACAGAGAATAAAGAGCTTTCTAAGCCATTCATAAAGCTGAATGGTTAGTTCAAAAATTGTCAAAGCTTGCCCACATTTAATATGTAATAATACCTGATAACTTGTTTATAAGAAATTCTAGTTTCCCTGTACTGAGTTTTCTGGTTAATTTCTGGTTAATATGTTTATCTTAATCAGAGAAAGAGTCATTGCTGCCTTTCAACCTACCTTGTGCATTTACTCCCGTCTATCTTATGTGTTTAATGCTTTTTCCTTGATCCTAATCAACTAAGTCTATACCGTAGTTGGTTTAAATGTTAGCTCCTCTTAGCTTCCTGTAAAGTGGATTTGATTTTGAATGCTCTGTTCTTCATGGAAATAAAGTCAACAGTATGGCTCTCTGTCTTGTGCAGTTGGCATCAGAATAATGGCCATTACAGTCTGGTTGTGTCAGCACTTACTACAAATAAGCTTAATGCAGCCAATTCTGCTTGTTCATGCTTCCGTAGCTTTTCCTTAGGCGTATCAGAATACACAAAGATAGCTATGAGAGTGTCACCTCTGCCTTGCTAAATGGGTCATTTGATTTCTGTAATTATTTTTCTCTTTGGAAACTTTGGACTAGTGATAGAATTATAGAGGAGATTCCAAGAATATCAACCCTTAAAGAATTCCAAATAGAAATTTCTTTCAAATTTCTGACAAATATCTTATGGACTAGAACTGTTTCTCTTTTGAGTTAGCATATAATTTGGGAATTAAATTTAGATGTCCTAACTGTAGGCTCTGCTGATTCCCTTTGAATGTTTTAAGATGCTGAAGGAACAGTGTTAAAATCTCTTCTAAATTGCATAATTTCTCTGATTTCTATTATCTTTCAGGCTGTAAGACTAGAAAGCACTTACCAGAATCGAACACGCTATATGGTAGTAGTTTCAACTAATGGTAGACAAGACACTGAAGAAAGCATTGTCCTAGGAATGGATTTCTCTTCTAATGACAGGTATAGTACCATTAAAAAGAAGGATGGGAAATCTCCTTTTTTAAATAACCTGTTCCAGTCACATTTTAAGCTACCATAAAAATATCTTACATGGTCTGCTTTTAAATTCAAGGTATTATAAAACTAGAGTAGACCTTATTAAAATGTGTAGCTACAGTTTTAGAAGACAAGCATGTTTAATGAAAGTCTTTGGTTATGTATTCCTAACTTATGAGTCAGGAATGCCTTACCTTTCTCTCATCTTTAGATACTAATGATATAAAGCAAATAATCTAAACTTGTATCTCCAGGAAGAAAACTGCATTTTCATGGCAAACTACTGTGTTTTAATTAGTAATGATTCACTTCGGCAATTTTAAGGCATATGTTTTCCATAGTAGTTATACCTGTTGTTCTGGTTTCAAGAATTTCCACTTGAACTTCAATTTCATATATTTACCCATGGCCTTAAATTTTGGTTTTATTAAATCTTATGGGTTTTTTTCTTCTTCATAGTTAAAAATGGGAAATGGTTCCTTAAATGCAAAGCAGAATCTTTCATATTCATGTATTTTTAGACTTAGTTGTATTTCATCTCCTATGATTACCTGGTTTTTTGTATCCTTAAGGTTTTTATTTTCCCCATTTTTAACCTTGGAAAGATTGTGGAATGTGGCTGCTAAGCAGATCTTTACACTTTGAGATAATAAGCTTCAGGAAATCCTGCCAGATGTCTCAAAGCATTGACTTCCTGGTTTAGGACTGGAATGGAACTGTAGAATAGCTAGGGGTGTGACTGAAGCCTAGGGGAATTTAGCCACAAACAGAGGAGAAAAATGGGAGTGATTCTGATTGTTCCCAGTGTTGGGGGGCAGGAGAATTATGCATTGTCACTAGAAGTTTCTCAATTCAGACTTGAGTTTGTAACTAGAAATCAACCTTAAAATTACTTGTGGGTTCACAGAAATTACAAGGCCTGAGTTGTTAGCTTGTACACCACTTACCACATTTAATTATATGCTATGAATATACACAGGTTTGTGGTTTAGGAAGCTTTCTCCTGCAGTTTCAACAACTCCTGGAGTTACCTAAGCAACAGACCTTTCAGTAACTATTTTTCCATAAAAGCACCTACTTGTCTACATTCATTAGGATTTTAGGACCTTTGATTTGGGTTTTTATCTGTCCAGATCTGTACTATCTGTTAGCATATTTGCCAATAATCACCTGTGTTTATTTAAATAAATAAAAAATAAAATGAAGGTAGGTATGGTAGCACAAGACATTTGTAATCCCAGCACTCAGGGTGAAGGAAGCAGGAGGCCATCCTGTACTACGTAAACCATAAACAGATACATAAACAAAATTCAGATTTCATTTTCTTGGTCATAACTAGCCACATGTCAGATACTCAGTAACAACATGTGAGTGGACCCTATATGGGACAATACTTCCATTACTTCACAAAGTTCAGTTGAGTAACACTGCTCTTCATTTGTATTTCTTTTGTTCAGTTCTTCCTAACCCATCCCTTTAAGAAATCCCTTTAAAACAGGAACTAGAGTTGCTGTTTCAGTTGAGTCTTCTCTTAAAGGCGACAGGCAGTAATTGCATATTCTTTTGGCGTTTAGTGTGAGCAATCAAGATGCCTGGTCTTACCTTTTTCATTTTTTTTTTTTGGGGGGGTGGGTCCAGTTGTGGGGCCTGAACTCTGGGCCTGGGCGCTGGGCTGGGCCTCAGCTCTTCAGCTCAAGGCTAGCGCTCTACCACTTGAGCCACAGCGCCACTTCCGGCTTTTTTCTTTTTGCTTATGTGGTGCTGAGGAATCGAACCCAGGGCCTCATGCATGCAAGGCAAGCACTCTACCACTGAGCCACCTTCCCAGCCCCACCTTTTTCATTTTATCCTAAAGTTTACCAGAGAGTTCATGTAAAGTTTGCCAGCTAACAGTATTTATCCTCAGTGAACCACATCTATCTGTTGTATAGTTATGCTGGATTCCTATCTCACAAATGCTACTAACAAAACTTTAGTTTGGAGAAGACATAATTGGACATGAAAATGTAGAAACTAGTTTTTATTATGTTTGGCAAACCTAATATGAAATACATGTACATCTGTTTGAACCTACTAGACAATTACAAAATATCATGTGTTTCAGAATACTAGTACTCTCAGGGATAGAGCCATGACTCAGTGGTAGAACTTCTGCATACCAAGTACAAAGTCCTGAGTTCAAATCCCAGCACCACAAAATTTTTTTACTTAAAAATAAAAAAAAAAAAAACACCAATACTGGAACTCTGATTATCTATGAAGGAATTTGTCTCAGAATATGAAAACTTGCTGTTTCAAAGCTATTAAAAGCCAGATTATTTATAATAAGTACAAATTGTTTCTAAGGTATGTTACAGCTAATTCAACTTAGTCTGTTTTAATATACAGCTACAGCGTGACCTTAGTTTTTTAAATGAACTGGATGTGTTTCAAGTTATAAAACAATAGAGCTTTGTAGCCTGGATTTGATTTGTTTTTTTAATCTCTCTTTGTACCCATAATATCTTGAATTGTCTGGTATGCAGTAGGCATAAATGAAGATTCTTGAATGAAATAAATATCTATTAAAATAAGTAGCTATACTTTAATCTAAAAAGAAATCCCATGACACTCAGGTATGCTTTATAAAAACAACAGGTGTGCCTAATTTAGTTCACTCCTTCCTGTTGTATGAAAAAGCTGATAATTAATGTGGGAACTAATAGGAGAGAGAAAGGTGAGTGAAAAGGGTGAATGAGGGTGAATATTGTAGATGTTCTTTATATACATGTATGAAAATAGAACAGTGAAACTTGATCAAGTGTTCTCTGAAAAGTGGGGAGAGGGATGAAGAAGAATAACAGGGTAAATCTGAGTAGGGTGTATTATGTACATAAGTGGTAATATCACAATAAAAGACATTCCCTAGTATAGTTGATGTATGCTGCTAAAATATCTTAGTAAAATGTTTAAAATAAATAGAAATTATTGTTATGTTTAGGTACTCTCACACATTTTTTATATAATGAAGAAGGCTTATTGTGGGAAGACGGGGCAGGTGGTGCCTGTTTGGGGGCTTGAACTCAGGACCTAGGCACTGTCTCTGAGCTTTTTTGCTCAACACTAGTGCTCTACCACTTGAGCCACAGTTCCACTCCTAGCTTTTTTGGTAGTTAATTGGAGATAAGAGTCTCATGGACTTTTCTGCCTTGGCAGGCTTCAAGATCCTCAGATCTCAGCCTCCTGGGTAGGATTATAGGCATGATCCCAGTGTGATGACAGATGCCTATAATCCTAGCACTTGTCTCAAAATAATAAAATAAAAAGAATTTGTATCCCAGTTTTACAAGTGAGAGACCAAGACACAAAATATTTAAGTAGCTGGGCGCCGGTGGCTCACACCTGTAATCCTAGCTACTCAGGAGGCTGAGATCTGAGGATCGCGGTTCAAAGCCAACCTGGGCAGAAAAGTCCGTGAGACTCCTATCTCCAATAAACCACTCAGAAAACCGGAAGTGGCGCTGTGGCTCAAGTGGTAGAGACTCACCTTGAGCTGAAGAGCACAGGGACAGAGCCCAAGCCCAGAGTTCAAGCCCCACGACTGACCAAAAAAAAAAAAAAACACAACACACATTTAAGTAATTTGCCTAAGCTTATATAGTTAGTGCCAGGACCCAGTTCCAAAGCCCATCTTAACATCTTTCTATCACATCATGCTGCCTCTCTATATATGGTGAGAGGGGCTGTGTGTTTTGGGAGTCTTTTAGAGAATGCCTAGAGGGAAAGAATTTGAGCTTTTTATATCACTGTCTTATAAATGGCTACTATCTAAAAAATACTCCAGGTGATTACTACAGACTTGCTTGTAGGTATACTAACACAGGATAGAGAATGAAACTCATTTTCAAGGATTATTTCTAATATCAAGAACTACTGGATTTTATTTTTCTTTTTTCCCCTCAAGCACTGAGAATGAACCTAAGGCTTCTTTTTTTCTTTGTTTTTTGTCGGTCATGGGGCTTGAACTTGGCCTGGGCACTGTCCTTGAGCTCTTCAGCTCAAGGTGAGCACTCTACCACTTGAACCACAACACCACTTTTGATTTCCTGGTGGTTAATTGCAGATAAGAGTCTCCCAGACTTTCCTGCCCAGGCTGGCTTTGAACTGTGATCCTCAGATCTCAGTCTCCTGAGTAGCTAGGATTACAGGTGTGAGCCACCAGTGCCTGGCTGAACCTAAGGCATCTTCTGGGCAATGACTCTACCATTGAGTTATGTCTTTAATCTCTGATTAAATTTTAGTTAGATTAAATTTTAGTACTTTAGTATACTAGTGTACTATACTAAAGCTACTCCTTTGTTGGATGTTGACATTCCTAGTCAACATTTGGGCAGTCTAGTACATAGTTACCAATCACATTTTCCAGACATGGTGATAAGTGTCTATGTTCTAATCTAAGCATTTGGGAGGCTGAGGCAGGAGGATCAGTAGTTTGAAGCCATCATGAACTAGATATAGTAAAACTTTATCTCAAAAGGATATAGAGGGAGGGAGAGAAGGAAGGTGGAAAAGGAGGGAAAAGAAAGGGATGAAGGAAGGGGAGGGTAGTACAAGGGAGAGAGGGGAGGAAGGAAAAGCTAAGCACTGTTTTGTTTAAGTTGTATTGTTTATTTCATCTAAGTTGGTTACAGCCATTAACAATTGCTTGTTTACATTTTTAATTTCCTTTTATAGACTTCTGATTGTGTTCTGGTGCTCAATAAATGTATTTAAACCTCAGCAACAAGCAGTAGTTCTTGACATTAGAAATAATCCTTGAAAGTGAGTTTCATTCTCTATCTTGTGTTAATATACCTACAAGCAAGTCTGTATTAATCACCTGGAGTATTTTTTAGATAGTAGTCATTTACAAGACAGGATATAGAAAGCGCAATCATTATGTTTCTTTGCTAAACATACAAGGAACTTCCTAAATAATCTATTAAACAGTTGTTTAGGACTTACATGAACTAAGAATGATATGATGGAAGTTTACCCACTCTAGTATTTGTGCCATACTTTCTAGCTGAGGCATTTATCCTTTGTGTTGAAATTGTTAATAAAAGATTGCTTCCCAGAACAACAGGAAGTAACTTATAGACTATTTCTTGTCTTGCAGTAGCACTTGTACCATGGGCTTAGTCCTTCCCCTTTGGAGTGACACCCTAATTCACTTGGATGGTGATGGGTAAGAAATTTCTCTTTTTATTCTCCAACAGAAAGCTGAGGGGTGGTGTTCTGTCTTAGTGACCCATTCATTCAACTGAATGGGAGGCCCAGTGTGCCCAGCCAAACTGACATGTCAGCAGCTTAGTGAGTCCTTTTAAACTCCTGTTTAGTAAAGTGGAATAAAAATACAACTTGCCAAGGTCTTTCACTTCAGTTCTTTTAGGCTGACTATGGTAGGAATCCAGACAAGGAAGTAATAGTTTGTTGGCTCACTCTTCAATCTGAGCACGTGGGAATATTGCAGTGCTCTCCCAAAGGGTGATATGTTCTGTTTCAAATAACCTCTTGTGGCTGCTGCCAGCTGTCAGCCTACAATATAACCCCTTTCCTGTGCCAGCTCCTTCCAGTGACATCCCAGCCCCTCCTCCTGCTGTTTTTTAAATGTGTCCACAAGAGACGGAGATGTTTTCTCCAGTTTATAAACTAGGGTTGGGTTTACTAAGAACCCACAAGACTTCCAAATAGAAATATAGAGCAGAACAGTTTGACTATAGCTTCTGCTGAGAAATGGTATGTAATTCCCTAACTCCACTGTGGGATTCCATTCATTTTGTCTGGTACATAAAATCAGACAATCTGTTGATGCTTTTCAGTAAAGTTCTTATACTCTATATTAAGTATTTGATTCCATCTAATGAGCCAACTGTTGATGTTGAAACTTGAAAACTTAACAACTGAAATAATCTACCCTTTTTTGTGGATTTTTAAATGTCTTGTTCTCTCTTGTCCTTAGTGGTTTCAGCGTATCAACAGATAACAGAGTTCACATATTCAAACCTGTATCTGTGCAGGCAATGTGGTAAGATGGACTTTTAATATCTACAAAACAGTACTGTTTTAAAATGTTACATTTCACTATGCAAATGTGTATGTGTATGGTTTTTTGGTGTGTTTAGGATTTTGTGATTTGTTCGTGTGACCATTACCATTAGAGATGACCTAGAAATGAAATTTTTATTGTCACAGTGGAAGGCCTTCAGTACTGGAGAACAAGTGAAATTCAGAAGTTTCTCAGACTCTGAAACATAATCACTCAGCCTGTTGGAACTGAGTTTCATAGGGATACTTACTAAGTCACTTAGCAGTCTAAGAGCCAAGTCTAGAACATCTTCTGTGTCCTTTTAAGTTCTTAGGATAATCAAGGATAGCACTGGCAAAGTTACATTAGATAGATTAAATACCAATACCCCAAAATAATATTGTTATCTTCTTATTATAGATGACAAAACTGAGGGTTTTAGAGGGATTATGTAACTGGCTTGAGAGAATCTGGTTCATTTGGACAGAATAGACTCTTGTTCTTGTTTATCTAAAAATTGATACGGTCAAGAAATAACAAGATTCTCAGATGCAAAGTCCATCCTGTAGTTAAGGGTTTAAATTTTAGTTTCTCGTTCAGCTGCCTCTTCTATAGGATAAGTCCCCAAAAGTTGTGGAATGATTAGAAGGCAAACCAAATGAGAAATTAAAGATACTTGTAGACTCCCATGGGCTGGGAAGTTGGCTTAGTGGTAGAGCACTTGCCTTGCATGCCTGAGGCCCTAGGTTCAATTCCTAAGCACCACATAAGCAAAAAGAAAAAAGCCAGAAATGGCGCTGTGGCTCAAGTGGGAGAGTGCTAGCCTTGAGCTGAAGAGCTGAGGGACAGTGCCCAGGCCCAGGGTTCAGGCCCCACGACCGGACCCAAAAAAAAAACCTTGTAGACTCCCAGGTAGGAGAAAATCTACTCCTGAATAACAGAATTGATGAGATTTAGGTGGACAGAGTCCTAAGAATCACTGAACAATTAATAGTCAAATCACTTCATGTAGTAATTGAGGTAATTTGTTTATGCCAACTAATTTAGATGTAGGGCACATAAATGGAAGTGTTTTTAGGGGAGCGTGAAGGGCAAAGCAATTTAAATAATAACTTTGGTTCAAGTATTGATGTCCTGAAGAAGGCTGATGGTCCTATTTCTTATAACTTATTGCAAAAGAACTTTTTGGTGTACCGCATGTTTGAAAGGTCATAGAGAACAAGTAGATGCTGTATAGATCAAAGCAGAATTTACGGGCTGAGGAATGGTTAAGGTGGTAGAGTGCCTGCCAAAAGAGCAAAAGGCCCTTAATACAAATGCCAGTATTGCCTGGCTACAAAGACAAAACAAAACAAAAAACACTTTAGACTGTATGCTTCCTTCACAAGAAAGTAATATAACCTCTTGTTCCTATGTGTAGCCAAGATACAGCTAGGCTGCACTTTAGGGAAGTTGCAGCAGACTCTGTGGATATGCCACAGATGAAGAATATTTCCTAGATGAAAAAAATATATATATATTGATTATCCTATATAATACATTAAACTGGCCCTTACCTTTGAATCAATGTGATGATATTTTAATTTTCTAAGCATTTGGCTTACTTTGAATAATTTTTAGGGGCTGAGAATGAGGCCTAGTGGTAAAGTGCTTGCCTAGCATACATGAAGCCCTGAGTTTGATCCCTCAATACCACATAAACAGAAAAAACTGGAAGCAGCACTGTCGCTCAAGTGGTAGAGTGCTAGCCTTGAGCAAATGAAGCTCAAGGACAGTGCCCAGGCCCTGAGTTCAAGCCCTAGGACTGGAAAAAAAAAAAAGAAAGAAAGCATTTTTAAAAATATCCTATAACTTCATTTATAAGAAAAAAATCTATTTCCCTAATAAAATGGTTTTTAAAAAGTTTTTTTTCAAATTTATGTAATATGGAATTGACAAAGATTTTAGGAACATAAATCATATAACTTGGTAGAAAATAAACTGGAAAGCTGGGTGCCAGTGGTTCAAGGCTATAATCCTAGCTATTCAGGAGGCTGAGACCTTAGGATCATGGTTCGAAACCAGCCCAGAGCAGGAAAATCCATGGGATTCTCTAATTAACCACCAGAAAACCAGAAGTGGTGCTGTGGCTCAAAGTGGTAGAGCATTAACCTTGAACAAGAGCTCATGGATGTGCCCAGGTCCTGAGTTCAAGCCCCATGACTGACAAAAAATAAACTGGAACAACCTTTCTGGAGAATTATTTTCCAATATGCATTATCACTTTGAATATCCCTTAACCTAATAATTTTATTAAGAATTTTCTCTGAGATAATAATCATGGATGTGTGCAAGAATTTTTTTAACTATAAGAACTTATCTATGGGGCTGGGAAGGAGGCTCAGTGGTAGAGTGCTTGCCTTGCATGCATGAGGCCCTGGGTTCAATTCCTCAGCACCATTTAAGCAGAAAAGGCCAGAAGTGGCACTGTGGCTCATGTGGTAGAGGGCTAGCCTTGAGCTGAAGAGCTGAGGGACAGCACCCAGGCCCAGAGTTCAGGTCCCACGGCGACCAACAACAACAACAAAAAGAACATATCTGTGTTCTGATAAGAGCAATAAATAAAAAACAAGTAAGATGTCCATAAGATAGAAATGAGTTCTTTGGTACAACCATATTATTGAATGTTACTCAACCATTAAAGTGATCTGTTGAGGAATATTAACATGGCAATGGACTGGGGTGTAGATTAGTGGCAAAGCACTTGCAATGTTCAATCCCCAGTACTGAAAAAGAAAAGACAGAAAAAAATACAATTTATACCAAAAAAATGGGAATATGTCAGTGTCAGGATGTAAAGTAAGAGAGCAAGTTATAAATAATACACAGAATATAGCCATATCTTTGTTTATCATGAGTCTACACATAAATGATACTTTGTTCTGCTTTATTTAGGGAAATCTAGGGCTTAGTACATACTAGGCAAGTTAAAGCCCCCATCTATAAAGTTTTTCAAGTGACCATAGAAATGAAAAGGATTTGGGTTTTGTTGTTGGTGTTTGGGTTTATGTGTGTGTGTGGTATGTGTGTGGTGTGTGTGTGTGTGTGTGTGTGTGTGTGTGTGTGTGTGTGTGTGTGTGTGTGTGTGTGTGTGGTGTATGTGTATGCTGGTCCTAGGGCTTGAACTCAGAGCTTGGGCACTGTCCCTAACTTGCCTTTGCTTAAGGCTAGTGCTCTATCACTTAAGCCACAATTCCACTTCTGGCTTTTTTAGTCATTTTTATTGGAAATTATGAGATTGGAATCTTATGGACTTTCCTGCCCAGACTGGCTTTGAACTTCAATGCTCAGATCTCAACTTCCTGAGTAGCTAAGATTACAGGAGTGAGCCTCCAATGCCCAGCTAGAAAATGGTATTTTTAAAAAATAGATGAAAGGCTGAGTAAGGAGGCTCACCCATATAATCTTAGTGATTTAAGAGACAGAGATTAGGAGGGTTATGGTTGAAGGCATTGTAGCACATTATCCTAGCTACTCAGGAAGCCTAAGTATGGTCCATATGCCTGGGCAAAAACATGAGGTACTACTTGAAAAATAACTGTTTTAAGTGGTAGAGGGCCTATCTAGTAAGCTCAAGGTTCTGACTTCAAAGCCCAGTCCTACTTTTATAAAAGTTACAAATGGATTGGCCACAGAATTCCCTTTTATTGCCTTTTTCCTTTAGGAGAGAGACAATAATGTGTAACTATTAAGACATTTCATTTGATAGATACCCTAATTGATTTTCAGCTATGAGTTGAGCCTTCTTTTAAGCACTTGAGACACACCAGTAAACAAAATGTAGAAGGTCTTTCCTTTTGTGTAATTTCTGGTTAACCAGCTTTTCTGGTTAAGCTTTTCCAAACAGCTTTTCTGGTTAAGCTTTTCCAAAGAATATAAGCAAAAGATACTTTTCAGTTCTGTTTACCCTTCTTGAGCTTCTGAGTTCAGAGACAGAAGGTTTAATTAGTCTCAGAATAACCAGAGCTGTTCTTAGAAAGTAATCCATATACATGAATAAATAGTTTAAAGAAACCAAGAGATTAATACATCAAGAAGACATGTAATTATATGAGTATTTCCTTCACATTAAAGAATATATTTTCATGACTTAAGGACATCTATGTATGTAATCTTTATGAAGCTTCTAGAATGAGAAAATATATGATTTATCTGCTGTTACATGATTCTGTGCCATGGGAAACAAATCTTTGAATAGTTAATTATTGGGATCTTTAGTCTTCTAATGATGCTGTCACAGCATAGTTCCAACTATGCTCTATTCTTTCCTAAATTTATTTTTCACTGATGAGTTGTCAGTTTTCTTCCCCTCCCCCAACACCCTGCCTAAAGGGTTTCAGCAAATGTGTAGATAATATGGATAAATAATATGATATCATCGGGCTCAAAGAATCTCTGAAGTTCCAGGGAAGAGATTCTCTAGAGCCCAAATTCTATAGAATTTACAAATTAGAAAGTGAGATATGGCCAGGCACTGGTGGCTCACACCTGTAATGCTAGCTACTCAGGAGTCTGAAATCTGAGGCTCATGGTTCAGAGCCAGCCCAGACAGGCATGTCCATGAGACTCTTAACTCCAATTAACCACCAGAAAACCGGAAGTGGCCCTGTGGTTCAAGTGGTAGAGTGGTCACTTTGATCTCAGGGACAGTGCCCAGGCCCAGAGTTTAACCTCACAACCGACAAAAAAGAAAAGAAAAGAAAAAGAGTGGATACATGTGGAGTTTGGGCATTTGAGTAACCCACAGTTCTACAGTACTCATTTTCCAACATGTCTTTCAGGTCTGCACTACAAAGTTTACACAAGGCTTGTGAAGTGGCCAGAATGCATAACTATTACCCAGGAAGCCTGTTTCTCACCTGGGTGAGTTACTATGAGAGCCATATCAACTCAGATCAATCCTCAGTCAATGAATGGAATGCTATGCAAGATGTGCAGTCCCATCGGCCAGACTCTCCAGCTCTCTTCACAGATATGTAAGTCAGCTTGCCTAAGGATTGTGAAAAAGGCATTCTCTGTTGCTTCCTAGGCAGCATGTTCTTCCCTAATCTTTTCTTTTGGAGAATTAATCCTTCCCAGTGATAATAGTTACCATCTATAACCTCATTTCTGCCACACATAAAGAACCTAATCTATGACTGGGAATGTGGCTTAGTGGTAGAGTGCTTGCCTAGCATGCATGAAGCCCGGGGTTTGATTCCTCAGTACCACATATACAGAAAGGAAAAAAGCTAGAAGTGAAGCTGTGGCTGAAGTGGTAAAGTGCTAGCCTTGAGCAATAGAAGCTCAGGGACAGTGCCCAGGCCCTGAGTCCAAGTCCCAAGACTGGCAAAAAAAAAAAAGAAGAAGAACCACCTAATCTGTGGCACAATGAATCTCTATAACCAAGAACTACCATGCCATAAAATCTGTTACTCAGATTACACTAATTTGTCATTTGAGTTTAAAGGAATTGGGCTGAGATTTGCATTCATATACTCAATAGGCCAATTAATGGCAAGAAGCTTTTAGAAAGATATTTGTAATATATAAGAATACAAGATGTCTCTAATCAACTTTAAAGAATACCTAGAGGAATAATTTTAAACTTAATATCTCTTCAGATTTTTCTTAGAATATCTTATTATTCCAGTGTCTTACTTTGCTCTATTTTTGCCTTGTCAAATCTTTGTTAGTAAGATTTTACCAAATCTTGGGCTAGAAAGGTGATAGAGTGCTTGCCTTGCATACATGAGGCCCTGGGTTGGATTTCTCAGCACCACATAAGCAGAAAAAGTTAGAAGTGGCATTATGGCTCAAGTGGTAGAGCACTAGCCTTAAGCTGAAGAGCTGAGGGACAGTACCCAGGCCCAGAGTTCAGGCCCCATGACCTGCAAAAACAAAAAAATTTACCAAATCTCCCTGGTGTGCTGTGCATTGAATAAAGACCTAAAGTGGCACTGGTGTTTTATTTCCTTTTTAGGTCTATGTATTGAAACTTGTTGAAATTTTTGTTACCATTTTATATGGTTTTTTTTTTTTACTTAGTTCCTGCTTTGGAAATTAATCAGGATGTTTACTTTCTCTATAAATTGATCTTTCTGAACTTTCAAGATATTCAACTAGGGGGAGAAAAGTGGGTAGTAGAGCTACTTATATGACCTTACAAACAGGATTTGTCTTAAGATTCTTGAAATCAAGCCAAAATACTAAATGATTTTTTAAAGGCTTTAGATATTAGTCTAATAATGCCTTTTACTGGAAAAGGTAAAATTTCCAACTGTGTGTGAAAACAGTTTTAAAAAAAAAAAAAAGCACCTTTTCAGGGCTGGGAAGGTGGCTCAGTGGTAGGGCGCTTGCCTTGCATGCTCAAGGTTCGATTCCTCAGCACCACATAAGCAAAAAGAAAAAAGCCAGAAGTGGCACTGTGGCTCAAGTGGTAGAGCGCTAGCCTTGAGCTGAAGAGCTGAGGGACAGCGCCTAGGCCCAGAGTTCGGGCCCCATGACCAGACCCCAAAAAAATTTAAAAAATTTAAAAAATTTTTTTAAAAAAGCACCTTTTCAATAACCCTAAATCCTTTCAAGATCCCATAGTAACTAAAAATAAGAATTTGTAGAAAATGTTATTCATAATTCCATGCTTTGCAAGAATGAATGTTTCATCTAGCTCAAAAAAGTACATTCGCCTGATCCTGGTGGCTTACACCTATAATCCTAACTACTCAGAAGATTGAGACCTAAGAACCATTGTTCAAAGCCAGCCCAGGGAAGGAAGTGTGAAACTTTTTTTTTTTTTTTTTTGTCGGTGATAGAGCTTGAACTCAGGGCCTGGGTGCTGTCCCTGAGTTCTTTTTGCTCAAAGCTTCTGTTCTACCACTTTGAGCAACAGTGCTACTTCTAGATTTCTTGCAGTTAATTGGAGATAAGAGTCTCACAGACTTTTCTGTCTGGGCTGGCCTTGAACAATGATCCTCAGGTCTTAGCCTCCTGGGTAACTAGAATTACAGGGATGAGCCACCAGTGCCCAGCTTTCCTGGAAACTCTTATCTCCAGTTAACCACCAAAAAGTTGAGCTGTGCCTCAACTGTACAGAGTGGTTGAGTGCACCATGGTGGAGTGCTATCCTTGAGCAACAAAAAAACTTAAGGATGGCATCCAGGCCCTTAGTTCAAGCCCTGGGACCAGCACCAAATAAATAAATAAATAAAAGCACATTCTAGTTTTCAGGGTGATGCATGTGTAATGTTACTAAGGAGGCAGAGATGCAAAGAATTACAATTCAAGGCCAGCTTGGGAAAATAGACCCCTTCCCCCATCTCAACAAACTGAATGTGGTGATGCACATCTGTAATTCTAATTACATGGAAGATATAGCTAGAAGGATTGAAGTCCTAGTTTTAAAAAAAACGCAAAACCCAGTGCAAGGCCTGTCTCATAAAGCAAAAAAAGGTTGAGAGTGACTCAAGTGAGAGTGTTTCTAGTGTATGTGAAGCCCTGAACTCAAACCATAGTACAAAACAAAACAAAACAAAAAAAAACCCTACATTCTAAATCATACTTACTTGAGACAGAAAAAATACTATCAACCACCTAGGGCAGAAAAGTCCACAAGACTCCATCTCTATCTTCCAGCTTCAGTAACTAGCAAAAAGCCAAGTGGAGGTATGACTCAAATGGCAAACCATCAACTAAGCAAGCCAGCTAAGTAAGCATGTGCCTTGAGTTCAAACTACTACAAGAATGTACTACTACAGTACAGAGGGTAAATGGGGATAGGAAGCTTGGGTAAGAATTTTATTCTTGTCAAGACAAGGCTACCTTTCTGACTGATGGAGAGATGGTATAGGTATTAACTATATTCTGCAGGGTTTATGAGAAACTAAGAGAGCTAAGTGATATGGAGCTCCACAGTTGTGGAGTTAGAGCATCTATCTTTGGAGATTACTGAAGCTATTTTTACCATCAGTGATAAGGCTGTAGGCAGCCAAGGACAGGCAGGATGCCCAAAGGCTTATTAGTCCATTTCCATCTCCAAATAAGGAGGTACAGAGCACATACCTTTCTTGAGTAGGTAGCAGAGGAAAGATGAAGCAGGAAGTATTATCCACTTCCTTCAAATTCTGTACAATATAAAATAATGCTGTTATTACAGGAAACATCCAGTTACATTAAACTAATACCTGTCCAGTAATTAAAGAGTAACTAGTTTGATTTCATATTTAAGTTCCAAGGTCTATTTATTTATTTATTTTATTGTGCTGGTCCTGGGGCTTTAACTTGGGGCCTGGGTGCTGTCCCTGAGTTTCTCTGCTCAAGGGTGGCACTCTACCAGTTGAACCATAGTCCCACTTCAACTTTTCTGATGGTTTACCTGGAGGCAAGATTCTCACAGACTTTCCTGTCTGGGCTGGCTTCAAACTGCAATCCTCAGATCTCAGCCTCCTGAGTAGCTAGGATTATAAGTGTACCTGTAATTACATCAGTGTTTGATGTGGTAATTTTATTTTTAAGAGAGTCAGAAAACTCAATCCTGTAGGTAGAGTATTAGGCTTGTCTTAGCTTTCTGATTTTACTGCCAGTATATGTAAGCATTAGTACTCTTTAAAGATTTGTTATCTTCATAATGAAGATAGAAATTTCAAAGACCAATATGTTCTATAATTCCAGCACTTGTGAGGCAGAGACAGGTGATTTTTTTTTCTTCCACATCAACCAGGATTAATCACATGTCGATGGCCAAGGGAATCATTGTTACTATTAAAATAGTAATCTCTGGGGGCTGGGAAGGTGGCTCAGTGGTAGAGCGCATGCCTTGCATGCATGAGGCCCTGGGTTCAATTCCTCAGCACCACATAAGCAAAAGGAAAAAAGCCAGAAGTGACGCTGTGGCTCAAGTGGTAGAGCACTAGCCTTGAGCTGAAGAGCTGAGGGACAGCGCCCAGGCCCAGAGTTCAGGCCCCACGACCAGACCCAAAAAAAATAAAAATAAAAATAAAGAAGTATACTCAGTTCACAATAGCCAAGATATGGAAACAACCCAGATGCCCCACTACAGATGAATAGATCCAAAAATTGTGGTACCTTTATCCAATGGAATATTACGCAGCCATTAAAAAGAACAAAATAATGCCATTCACAGGGAAATGGATGGAAATAGAACAAATCCTGTTAGGTGAAATAAGCCAAGATCAGATAGACTAAAGTCTCCCTGATATGTAAATGTTAAATTCAAAATGCAAGGAGATATGACCAAGTAAACAGGACTCAAGAAACAAAAGACCTCTTCTTTTTTTTTGGTCATGGGACTTGAACTCTGGGCCTGGACGTTGTCCTTGAGCTCTTCAGCTCAAGGCTAGTATCATATCCCACAATGCTGTGAAATTTGTAGAATTTATGGAATCACTTTAATCTCAATAAAGAAGAACTATCCTTGGTATACCCAACTTGTCTTTTATTCCTTAATGGGTCTATATATATGAATGTATTTAAGGGCTTTTAAACACATACAACCTTTCCGTTAATCATTTCTATTTATTTACATCCTCAACATTCTGAAAATAAACATTTTTTTGCCAGTCCTGGAGCTTGAACTCTGGGCCTGGATGCTGTCCCTGAGCTGCTTTTGCCCAGGGCTAGTGCTCTACCACGTGAGCAACGCCTAACTTTTTCTGAGTAGTTTATTGGGAGATAAGAGTCTTGTGGACTTTCCTGCCTGGGCTGGCTGTGAACCATGATCCACAGATCTCATCTTCCTGAGTAGCTATGATTACAGGCTTGAGCCATCAGCATCCAACTGAAAATAAATTTTTTAAAAGTAAAAAAACAAAAAATGACTCTACTGAACTTTGAACTCTCGGCCTTTTGTGCTTACTAAGCAGGTACTCTTGCAGGATACTTGGGCCTGAACTCAAGGCCTTGCACTCTTGCTGCTTTGTCACTCTACAACTTGAGCCATAACTCCACTTCTGATAATTACTGGTTAATTGGAGATAAGAGACTCAAGGACTTTCCTGTCTACGCTGGCTTTGAACCAAGATCCTCAGATGTCATCCTCCTAAATAGCTAAGATTACAGGTGTGAGCCACCTGTACCTTGTTTCTAAAAATAAAATTTCTATTTGTAATGCCTCCACAATATAAAGTTAAGCAAAATAGAGGTAAAACTTGCCAATTTGGAAACATAAACAAATGTTATATTCATTAATGTAAATCAAATTCCTGCTTAAGAAAAATTACTACTTCTTTCTTGTTCTCAGACCAACTGAACGTGAGCGAACAGAAAGGCTAATTAAATCCAAATTAAGGGAGATCATGATGCAGAAAGATTTGGAGAATATCACATCCAAAGAGGTAAGAGATATTGAGTCTGCTTTGGTCCAAGGCTAGGAGTGTGATAACAATAGGTATGGGGCTAGAAATAGTACACAGTTGAAAGTGAAGATCTTCACAGAGATTAGTAAAATATGTCATCTTTGTTTCAGATACGAACAGAGTTGGAAATGCAAATGGTTTGCAATTTGAGAGAATTCAAAGAATTTATTGATAATGAAATGATAGTGATCCTTGGTCAGATGGATAGTCCTACACAGATATTTGAGCATGTGTTCCTGGTAAGTTTTAGAGCCATATTAAATGGTGTGTTGAAACAAGCCTACGTGGACTGGGGGTAAGGAAACAATTATTAAGTCTTTCAAGTCTGCCAGATGTGTCTAAGGTCTGATATATTTGAACAGAGCAGGTGGGCACTACTTATATCTGAGAGACTATTGTACTTACTTTTTTGTAGTCCTAAAGATTGAACCCAGGGCCTTGCATATGTTAAGCACATGTTTTACCACTGAACTATATTCCTAGACCTGGACTTTTACACAGAAAGTATTGTAGCTACATTTTGAGTTGCATGAATATTTTTCATAATTACCATAATCTCAACTAGGAAAAATTATCCCTTATGGTTTCTGAACATTCAGAGACCTATAACTAATTATAGGAGACTTCCCTGATGGATTAGGAAAGCCTCTAATTTCCTAAAGTCTATTTTTGTGCTAAATGTTAGAATTCTAATTTTCATCTGTACAAAATTAACGAAGATAACTAAAATCAATGAAGAGGAGCTAGGCACTGGTGGCTCACATTTTAATCCCAGCTACTCAGGAGGCTGAGATTTGAGGGTTGCAGTTCAAAGCCAGCCCATCAAGAAAGTCTGTGAGGCTCTTAACATCCAGTTAAGTACCAAAAAGCCAGAGGAGAGCTATGGCTCAATTGTAGAGCAAAAAGCTCAGGGACAGTTCCTAGGCCCTGAGTTAAAGCCCAGGACCAGCACCAAAAAAAAAAAATGTAAAAACTCATTTTATTTCCACTTCTGACACATTTTGACCAAAATGTTAACAACTAAATAAATTAGTTTGATTTTCACTTCCTTTCTCTTGTGTGAGAACATTTGTAAACTGTGAAATGATTAGAAGCTGGGAAACAGGAGAGAAGAGGACTAAATACATGGGAATTGACTCAACTCACCTTGAACACTCAAGAATTTATTTCACCAGGCAGACAGGCTTTGTGTCATTGAAAGTCTGTGCCCTGAGTTAATCTGTTGACTCTCTAGAGCTTGTGTGTCTCTAGAGTGATTCATAGTAGACCATAGCTATGAAATTACTCATGAAAAGTTGTGAGCTGGCAGGGGAACTTCTTTTCCAGTGCTTTAATGTAGCCAAAATGTGTTGCCATTTCTGGATGCAGATTATACTGACCTTTTCTATGAACAAAGCACCTGTTTTTGTTTTTTTCTGTATATTTCCATTAAGGCCCAAACATAAACTTAATATTGTTAGAAAGAATCTATGTTGCTTATTAGAAAAACATAAAAAAAAATATCCAGTGGCCCATTTTCATTCTAAATGTGAAATGTGACTTAGGAGCCACTCATTCACATGTCTCCATAAAACCTAATTTTATGACAGGCAAACTCCAGTAAACAAGAGGAATTTGCTAGCAAAGCACAAATAGCTTGTGGCTATAGTCCTAGCTAATCAGGAAGCTGAGATCTGAGAATCTCAGTTTGAAACCAGCGCAAACAGACAAATCCTCAAGATTCTTCTCTTCTCTCTCTCTTTTTTTATTTTTTTTGGTCAGTTGTAGGGCTTGAACTCTGGGCTTGGGCACTGTCCCTGTGCTCTTCAGTTCAAGGTGAGCACTCTACTACTTGAGCCACAGCATCACTTCTGGTTTTCTTAGTGGTTTATTGGAGATAAGAGTCTCACAGACTTTCCTGCCCAGGCTGGCATTGAGTCATGATCCTCAGATCTCAGCCTCCTGAGTAGCTAGGATTATAGGCATGAGCCACCAGTGCCGGGCTACGATTCTTCTCTTTAACCACCAAAAATATCTGTAAATGAAAGCCTAGTTCAAATGGTAGAGCACCAGCCCTGAGCAAAAATGAATCCCTGAAAAGAAGTCATGTTAAGAAAGTGACCAAATCGGAGCTGGGAAGGTAGCTCAATGGTAGAGCGCTTGCCTTGCATGCCTGAGGCCCTGGGTTCAATTCCTCAGCACCACATAAGCAAAAAGAAAAAAGCCGGAAGTGGCGCTGTGGCTCAAGTGGTAGAGCACTAGCCTTGAGCTGAAGAGCTGAAGGACAGCACCCAGGCCCAGAGTTCAGGCCGCACGACCGGACCCCCCCCCCCCCCAAAAAAAAAAAAGAAAGAAAGTGACCAAATCTGCAAACTTAGAAATCATTTTACCATTGAGCTAAGATCTCCTTCCTTTTTTCAGGGTCAGGTATCAGACCCAAGGCCTTGTATTTGCTTAATAAGAGCTCTACCACTAGCTTGAGCTTGGCCTTTTTTGTGTGTGCTGATCCTAAGGCTTGAACTCAAGGTCTAGACACTATCCTTTAGGTTTTTGACTCAAGGCTAGTGCTCTACTGCTTGAGCCACAGTTCCACTTCTGGCTTTTTAATGGTTAACTAGAGATAAGAGTGGCACAGACTTATTTCTTTCCCAGACTGGCTTTGAACCTCAATTCAGCTCGTATGGAGAGGGAATGTATAGAACATATTTAAAGAAATTCTGAAGTAAAGGTATAGGGTAAGAAAAGGTTCTTTTTTTTTTTTTTTTTTTTTTGGCCAGTCCTGGGGCCTGAACTCTGGGCCTGGGCGCTGTCCCTCAGCTCTTCAGCTCAAGGCTAGCACTCTACCACTTGAGCCACAGTGCCACTTCTGGTTTTTTCTGCTTATGTGGTGCTAAGGAATTGAACCCAGGCCTCATGCCTACAAGGCAAACGCTCTACCATTGAGCCACCTTCCCAGCCCAAGAAAAGGTTCTTATACATCCTTACAAGTGTACAAGTACAGCCAGGCACTGGTGGCTCACTCCTGTAATCATAGCTACTCAGGAGGCTGAGATCTGAGGTTCGCAGTTCAAAGCCAGCCCAGGCAGGAAAGTCCATGAGACTCTTATCTCCAGATAACCACCAGAAAAGTAGAAGTGGCTCTGTGGCTCAAGTGGTAGAGTGTTCACCTTGACCTGAGGAGCTCAGGGACATCGCCCAGGCCCAGAGTTCAAGTCCCATGACTGACAAAAAAAAAAAGTGAACAAATACAGTTATAGTACTTCTCTTAGCTGGAAGCCTTTGCCCAATTAGATTTCAGTATTATCAGTTCTCCTGGAGGCTATGTAACTTGGCTGAGAAAAAGCTAGATGTGAACAGAGAACTTTTGCTGAAAAGCAGGCAACCTTTTCAATTAAATAAGAGAAACAAAAGAGTATTGGGTATACAAAGGGCCCATGGATATAAAAGTAGCTGAATTTTTATGCTTATTTTCTTTTTCAAGTTTTGGTATTACAAAATCCTTTTAGAAGAGTGTTTCCTTTTCAAAGAAAATTCAGCCTCAAAGTGGTTATATTTATTGTAGGTACAGAGAAATTTAGAGTATGTGAGGAGAAATGAGACAGCAATCCATTGTATTCTTTTTATCTTAGTCAAGATTTTTGTCCCTAGAAATACGTGGCGTAAACTAGGAAGGAAAAGTTAATAGAGGTTTTATGCTTGGTTAAAACATTGAGACTACAGAGTTGATAAGGATAGGGATATCAGCCTTCAGAGATTATGTATTTATCCTATCAGAACTCCCAGTACAATTTTTTTTTGGGGGGGTCCAGTTGTGGGGCCTGAACTCTGGGCATGAGCACTGTCCCTCAGCTTTTCAGCTCAAGGCTACCACTCTACCACTTGAGCCACAGCGCCACTTCCGGCTTTTTTTCTTTTTGCTTATGTGGTGCTGGGGTATTGAACCCAGGGCCTCATGCATGCAAGGCAAGCGCTCTACCACTGAGCCACCTTCCCAGCCCAGTACAATTCTTTTTTTTTTTTTTTTTGGGTCCGGTCATGGGGCCTGAACTCTGGGCCTGGGCACTGTCCCTCAGCTCTTCAGCTCAAGGCTAGCGCTCTACCACTTGAGCCACAGCGCCACTTCCAGCTTTTTTCTTTTTTTGCTTATGTAGTGCTGAGGAATCGAACCCAGGGCCTCAGGCATACAAGGCACACACTCTTTCCAGCCACCTTCCCAGCCCCATCCAGTACAATTCTTATTAGTATAAATATATTTTCTTTTATTTTGCTTGGAACATTTGGACCCCAGAAAGACTGTTGTCTGATGATAACATCTGAAAAGAACTCAGTTACTTGGATCTTTGGGCTGGTTGTACAGTATTGGGAGAATGAATGAAATGGAAATGAACTCTTATTTTAAGATATATTGTAGGCTCCAGATTTCATTTGACATTTCAGTATGAAGAAAATTAGGACATTGTAAGCATGAAAAGCCTGGTATTAAAATTTAAAGATTGGTTATGTTGGGAGCTAATATGCTTAATATTTGTATTGAAGACAGAAAAGGAATTGCACTAAGCTGACGCTAGTTCTTTCAGACTGAACCTGAAGCAGCCCTAACCACAGCCCAAGTCATTTTTTGTGACTTCATCAGTAAACATTGCATGTAATTTATTTTACCTCTGGATAGGTATCAGTTTAGATTTTTGGATTTAATTTGCCCTAGACAGTAGATTAAAACCATGGACTTTTCCATCATGTCAAGGGTATTTCTATGTAACTGGATAGAGCTCTACAGAGGATTTAGATTTCTAAATTAAGAAGTAGTCACATTTCCCTGGCTTCAGTTTAGGCTTCTCATTCTTTATTGTTTGTTGTCTGTCTCCCTAAAGTCCTTTATAGTTTCTTTGGTGTGGGAGCTAGTTTTCTAAAGGCACAGAATCTTCCTAATTTTTTAAATTTTTTTTCTAGTATTCTGGCTTGAACCTTGCTTGTCCATACCTTCAGCCTTGATTTTTGCTGGTTAATAGCAGATAGAGTCTTGTAGACTTTTTTGCTGGCTTTGAACCTCTCTTTATCCTTCATACATATCTTCTGAGTAGCTAGAATTACAAGCATGAGCCACTATCACCTGACCCCTTCCATAATTTTTGAAAACAAGTCAGCTGTAGACATTAGTAGGCATTTTTTTTTTTGCCTTTTTTTCTCAGCAAGGTGAAATTTACTTCTGTGCAGAAGGCTGTGCCATCAGCCAAAAATCTGGCAAGCAAGCATACCTAGC